ACCAGTTCCATGCCCAGTCAGGGAACATGCCTTATTTGTGGGCCAGGACCCCAGATGGGGGCATGTGAGAGGCAACTGATCTATGTTTCTCTAACATGTGTTTATCTCCCTTTCTTTTCTTTCTCCTTTCCCCTCTGTCTCTAAAAAAAACCAAGTAAATAAAATCTTTAATAAGAACTTATGTTTTGAACTCTGCATCAAATAAATTGCTTATCTCAATTTTGCTTAGCTGTTTTTCTGGAGTTTTATCTGTTCTTTCATTTGGGCCATGTTTCTTTTGTCTCCTCATTTTTGCAGCCTCCCTGTGTGTCTTTTTTTTTGTTTGTTTGTTTGTTTTGTTTTGTTTTTATGTACTAGGTAGAGCTGCCCTGACTCTCTGTCTTGGCAGCATGGCCTAATATTGTAGGTGTCCTGTAGGGTCCAGAGCCACAACCTCCCCTATCACCCAAGCTGGGTACTTAGGGTATGCCCTTCGTGTAGGCTGAGTACGCCCTCCTCTTGTACTTGAGCCTTGATTGCTGTTGACACAACAATGGGAGGGATTTACCCAGGCCAGTAAGCTTCAGGGACAGGCTGTGACCACTGACCACCAACCTCCGTCCTCCATAGAGGATCAGCTGAGCTGGGGCCCAATCCTCAGAGCAGGATTTATTTCAGCAGTACTCTGGTACCTACTGAGTCTGTCCCTTGAACATGTCACTTTTGGAACTGTTTGGGTTGTGGTGCTCTGAAGTGGTCTGTAGCTGTCTACTGGGTGCATAGCCTCTAGGGTTTCTTGGGAGGTACAGGCCAGCATCAGCCACTACTTGTGTTTTATCTGGGACTACTTGGCATAAGCAATAAAGTGATCTGTACATGGCTGTTACTTAGGCTGGGCTTGGAGGTGCACAAGTGTGGCCAGGATGTGAACCAAGGCCAACTTATGCTAGTGATAGGCCTGGGGCCACTTGGCAAGAAGTATGGAAGCTCACTGATGCAGCTGCTACTTGTATGGGAGGATTTAGGAAGATCTGAAGTATGAGCTGAGACAAGACTTTTGTATGGAAAAGCCACTGTTAACAGCTTGGGTGGGCCTATAAATTGGGTGGGCCAGAGCCTGAAGGAATCACCAGTGTGGGACAAACAGTGGGGGCCATGGTGATAGAGTCTCAGATATAGTTCCTGTTGGTGGAGGGCTCAGAAAAGGAACAATGGCTACCACCAACAGTTCTGTCTGGGAGAGAATTGTTCCCCAGCTCTCACCCTGATGCTGACCCTTCAGTATCTCCCTATATGTCACTGGTGCTTTTAAAGCTGTTGCACCAGTGCTAGAGGTCAGAGGGAGTGAGTCTTAATAATTCTGTACATGCACCCTTTAAGAGAACTTGCTTGGAAATCCAGCAGTTCCTTCCACTGATCCAATCCACACTGGTTTTTGCAGCCAGAGTAATGGGGACTTGCCTTACTGGCATTGGAAGCCAGGGCTTGGGGGCCTGGTATGGTGCTGGGACCCCTTGCTCCTGAGATATCCTTCCCATTTTTTATCTACCACATGTGGGTGTCAGACCAGACCTTTCCACATCTCCACATCTCTGCCCCTCCTACCAGTCTATATAGATGTGTTTTCTTCTTTAATTCCATAATCATAGGGCTTTTATTTAGCTTGATTTATGATGGTTCTAAGTGATGGTTGATCTATAGTGTAGTTGTAATTCTGATGTGGTGTGAGGAGACAAGGCATGTTTAACTAGGCCACCATCTTAGAGAATCTCAGAAAAATTAATTTAGAAAATTAGGATAGTGTAAGGAGCCTCTGGGACAACTTCAAGTATACCATCATCTGCATCATCAGGGTGCCAGAAGGAGAAGGGAGAAAGCAATGGTTCAGAACCTATTTGAAGAAATAATGATGGAAAACTTCCATTAACCTGGGGAAATAAATACAAGTCCAAGAAGCACAGAGGGTTGCAAACAAGATGAACTCCACAAATCCCACAACAAGACACATCATAATTAAAATGCCAAATGTTAAAAATAAAGAGAGCATCTTAAAAGTAGCAAGAAAAAAGCAGCTAGTCATATACTAGGGAGCTCTCATAAGACTGTCAACTGAAACTTAACAGAAACTTGGGAGACCTGAAACGATTGGCACAAAATATTGAAAATGATAAAAATCAAGGACATACAACCAATGTTGCTCAACCAAACAAAGCTATCATTTAGAATTGAAGGACAAATAAAAAGTTTCCCAGACAAGATAAAATTGAATAAGTTCATCTCCACTAAACCAGTAGACAACATATGTTAACAAAACTTCTTTAAGAACAAAAGAAAAGATTAAAAATATGAGTAGAAAATATTGGAAAAAAATTCTCACTGACAAAGGCATACACATAATATAAGAAATAAATCAACCAAAACATAAAGCTAGTACAAAGGTTAAAGGGCAAAAGTAGGCAGATACTGTATAATTAGAACAATAAATTAGTGAATACACAAACACACAGGAAGTAAAAAATAATGAGAAAAATATAAATGTGGAGAAGGTGAGCAAACATTGTTGTGATTTTAGAATGTGTTCAAAGAGGCCATCAAATTTTAAAAAAGACCGCTTTAAATATAGCTTGGTATACAGGAAGCACATAGTAACTACAAATCAAAAATCTGTAAGAGATATACAGGAGCAAAAAGAAAAAATAATCCAAACACAACACTATAGAAAGTCATGAACATATAAGAGTAGAGAGCAAGAGAATACAAAAGAACAGAGAGCTACAAAAATAATCATAAGACAATTAATATAAGGTCAATAACTAAATGCCTGTCAACGACCACTTAAATGTAAATGGAATAAATACTCCTATAAAAAGAAATAGGGTAGGTGAATGGGTAAAAGAAAACAAGACCCATACATATGCTGCCTACTAGAGACTCACCTCAGATCAAAAGCCACACAGAGACTAACATAAAGTGATGGAAAAATATTTTATACAAAGGAAAAAAAACAAAAGTTGGGGTAGGAATACTTATATCACACAAAATGAACTTTAAAGCAAGAGCTGCAATAAGAGAAAAAGGAGGGCATTTCATAATGATAAAGAGCTCAATCCAACAAAAGGACGTGTCTCACAAATAGCTACAATATGAGACCTGCAACTGTAAAATTTCTAGTTGAAAATATAGGCAGTAAACTCCTTAACATCACTTTTAGTAATATTTTTTGTATATGTCTCCTTGGGCAAGGGAAACAAAAAATAAACACATGGGAGTACATAAAACTAAAGAATGTTTATACAGTGAAGGAAACCATCAACAAAACAAAAAGACAACCTATTCAATGAATGGAAGAAGATATTTGCCAATGACACATCCAATAAGGGGTTAATATCCAAAATATATATGGGAGTCATGCAACTTAACACACACACACACACACACACACACACACACAACAATTTGGTTAAAAAATTGAAAGAAAACCTGAGTAGGCATTTCTCCAAAGGGGGCATAATGATGGCCAACAAACATATGAAAAGATGCTCAGCATATCTAATCATCAGAGAAATGAAAATTAAAATCACAATGCGATATCACCTTATACCTGACAGAATGGCTATTATCAATAAATCAACAATAACAAGTGTTGGTAAGAATGTGGAGAAAAGGGAACCCTCATGTACTTTGGGGGGAAATGTAGATTAATGCAGCCACTATGGGAAACAGTACAGAGGTTCCTCAAAAAAAATAAAAACAGAACTACCTTATAACCCAGCAATTCTACTTCTGGGGATTTATCTGAAGAAACTCAAAATGCTAATTCAAAAGAACATAAGCATGCCTATGTTCATTGTAGCATTATTTACAATAGCCAAGATATGGAAGCAACCCAAGTGTCCACCTGTGGATGAATGGGTAAAAAATATGTGGACCTATATGCAATGAAATATATTTGCAGCAACATGGGTAAACCTAGAGGGTATCATGCTAAGTGAAATAAGTCAGACAGAAAAAGACAAATACCATATGACTTCACTTACATGTGGAATCCAAAAAATAAAATAAATGAATAAACAAAACAGAAACAAACATAAATACAGCAAACAAATTGATGAGTGCCAAATGGGAGGGAGGTTGAGGGGCTGGGTAAAAAAAGGGAAGGGATTAAGATGTACAAATTGCCAGTTATAAAAACAGTCATGGGATGTAAACTACAGCATAGGAAATATAATCAATAATATTGTAATCATTATGTATGGTGTCAGATGGGTACTTAACTTATTAGGGTGACCACTGTCTATGTTATATAAATTTCTAATTACTATGTTGTACACTTGAAGCTATTTAATATTGTATATCAACTTTAATTGAAAATAATTGCTAATTTATTTTTAAAAGATAAAAAGAAGGGTTATAGATTGAAACACAATATTCCACACCATCCAAGAGCATGGCATAGCTCACTTTAGCAGGGACACCTTGCTTTTTCTCTGACACTAGGAAAGATTTCTGTAATATTTACCACAGTTGCTTTCTCCTAGCGTAAACAACACATTCTCCCCTTCTAAATATGTGGGCCATTCTTTCCTACTGGGATTCTTTGGAGGGTTAACTGTCAAGTCTACCACACTCTCCTTTGATCAACACTCTCCACAGGGACAGCTCTCCCAATATCATTATGTTTATACTAAGTTAGCTGGATCCTTGAACCATAGCTGATTTGACCCAGGGTGAAATTCTGACCCAAATTAGATCAGTTGAATTGTTTTCTGGAAATTTGAAATTAGGACTAAGAAATGCTAAATTCTCTTTAAATACCTTCTTATTTTACTATAAGCACATAAAGGAGCAGAGAAAACAAATAGAAAGGGGAGAGGGAGTTGGGAGAAGATGGAAAAGCAAAGGGAGGGATGAGAGATCAGGAAATAGAGAGAAGAAAGATGGGGACCAATGACATTATATGAGAAAAGAGCTCTGGATCTCATGATCCATGTCACATTGTGCCATCTATCTCATTTTTCCAGATTTCTGTGTTCAGCAGTGGAAGATTTTGTGGTTGATATTGTAAAGGCCTGGAGTCAGATAAAACAGAACAATGCAGCAATAGAATCTGTGATTTTGAAAGTAAGTTTCCATTCCTTTTGCCTTGTACTCTTTGTGGAGCCAGGTCCCTCTCACTGGGAATTGTAAAAGAAAGGCAGAGAGGAGTACCTGATAAGCCTCCCTGATGTAGAAAGTCCACCTCATCACACTTCCATCTTTCACCAAATGAATAGCGGCACTATTCATGCTTATATTGAATACATGCACCATCTACCTAACTATATGCAAAGCATCTGCCCATACCTGGACACGAATGTACAACAAGCATGTATACACATGGTTGTAAACCAGAACATGCTTCAAAATATGTACAAATACATACCTACATTCATCTCTATAATAACAACAGCAACAATAATAGCTAACACTTATTATAACACTCTGCCAGAGACTGTTAAGCACTTTTAATCTTATTTGACTTATTTAATCATCACTTTTTCCTTAGAATATAGAAACATAGAGAAGTTAGGTAACTTGCTCAAGACACAAACTGTGATGTGATGTAGCTGGAAATCAAGCCATAATTAATCAAAACATCCCCAAACATGCACACATAACAAAGATGGCAGCACACACCCATGCAGGGACACATTCACATCCACAGAAGCATGCCCATAAAAATACCTATTCAGAAATATTTATCTTTACTCAAGTTGGCCATGTCATTTTACAGGCCAGTCATCCATGAGAAAAACTTACATTGGTTCCTGCAATTGCTCAGAAACAAATGAAATATGTTTGATTCCCTAACACTCCTTGGTTATTCCATTATATCTACCCAAGTACTTCTTTGCACCATCGTTCATCTCCCCACAGATAACTTTCTATGCTCAATGTTTCTGTCTAAATACGGTCCCTCTGCACCTCTTCCTATACCATCCCAGCTCCTCATTCTGTCATCTCAAGCAGTGGTCCCTCATAACAGTGCCCTGTCTCCTTCCTTTCTATATAGAGTGACATAATGTATGATAAGCTCAGTGTCTTAATTGATGTCCTGGCTGAGGAGGCAACAGTTGAGAAGAGTGCTACAGTATGTGAAGACAGTGGCAAGACAGATGGAAAGCCATTCATCCAGCAAATAGACCACATAGCCAAGTGCAAGTTGGAGCTGGCCACAAAAGCCAAGAATCTCCAGAAATCCTTGAAACTCATAATATTCCAAGTTGAACAAGGTAAGGGTCCCAGGGTCGTGGCGATTGAGGTAGGGGAGAGAGAAGGTTCCAGTGGATGGTTTATTGGTCTCCCTTTTTCTAGATTTTCTATTTGGCTCCCCTACCAAAACTTGACTAGATTCTACATTCACATAGCATTCAAACTTAGTTCTCGGACTGCTGATTTGAAAAGTGTCAGTCTTAATAAACTGCCCCTTTGGTTCCTCCTACTTCCCAGGCACTCAGCTCTTGCTACTCATTTATTTTTGAAGCTATCATTCATTCTAAAGAATTGCAGCTGATCAAAGCTCTGTGAACTTCCACCACCAGCCATGAATTTTTTTCCACCTGTGTCTGTTTTCACCCAACCACCAAGCTTGTGACTATTTTTTAAAAGGAAAATATTCATCTCTTCATGTCTTGCATAGTATCAGTGAGGCACAAGGGCCCTGAGAGTGGTTCTGGCAGCTCTGAAACTGATTGCTATCTCCTTAACTCATGACAAGTTGCAAGCTTTCAACTCAGTATGAAAACTTTTTCAACTCCTCCAACTTAATTTAACATTTTGATTCCTACTTCTTCCTCACAATGCTTCTTTGAGAAGCAGATCCAAAATGGTATAAGACAAAGTTTGTTCCACCTGAGCTATTAATCTTGAGCAGAAGTCCACATAGCAAGAAAGTACCTTTGACTTTTAGCCATGGTACCTTCTCCTGCCTTGGTACCTTTAGGCATGACTTCAGCCAAGTTTCCAAGAAAGCCAAAAATCTCCCTTCTGCACTGTGAAAGAATTGAACAGTCCATTTGTCTGTATTCCAGTAGTAGTTTCAAGTAAGGATCAGATTAATCTGATGTGGCCATAAGCCTGTCACAATCAACCCTCAGCCTGCTCCATCAACACATAAATCAGATTTGGAAGTGCAGCATGTGGCCATGGGACAGAGAAAGGCACTGCTGCCAGTATACGGATTGAACCTGACTGAGAACCTGAGCTATACAATATATAGGTTGGTGAAATAAAGGAGACTTCTCAAATATTCTGGATATGAGTGAGACATTTGAGTGAAAGAATCACTTGCTCCTAGAGACTCAAGTTTGGAAGAAAAATCAGTGAGTGAATGAATTTTAAAAGAGGTAAGAATGGAGGTAGAAGAGCAGAGGGTTTCCCTCCCTGTCCAGGTCCCTTCCCTCCACTGGCCCTCATCTTCTACTTACAGTGGCATTTCCTGGGTGACAGAAAAAGAGTAACTAATAGAAGAGAGAAAGCTCAGGCATTGATATAAAGAGACATAGGGCCAACACTGTAAGAAAGCTGAGACTACAAACAGCATCGTGAAGGAGAGGTGATAGGCCAATGAGAGTCTGTTATCTAACCACACACTGACTGGCATTAACTAAATAAAGGAGATTTAGTTAATCTCCTCTATGAAAAAATGTCTGATAAATGTGACCAATCCTCCCTCCCCCCATCCTTTTTTCCCCTTCCTTTCCTTTCCCTTCCCTTCCCTCCCCCCTCACTTCCACTTTTTCTCTATAGTTCTGGATGAAAAGAGCCGACAGGCAATATCACTTAAGAACTTTACTTCAACTTTCTTTCCGGAAGAAGACTCAGAAGATATTAACCAGACGAGCCCAAGACACCGTAAGGATCTTTTTCTTTTTCTCTTGTTTGACCCTTAATCACTGTCTTCTAGTGCCCAGAAGATAAAAGTGTGTTTTCATGCATCTTCCTTTAGCCATAATCCTATTCTGCAGTGGATATCCCTCCCTCTCTCCCAGAAAACTCACATTATAAGATCCCATGCCAATGTCCAGAAGTAATGATGCCATTAGGTGCTTTGAAAGACTGGTCTGATGAAACCCAAGATTTGAAGCTGTTTTCATTACCAGCAAGCAAGCAACTCGGCCTCACTATCCTCTCAGTGGAAGCCCCTGTCCATCCAAGATGAACCCACTTTGGAAAGTGAACCCTGAATGTTATTTAAGAGAAAGTCATTGACCTTGACCCTATTCCCACAGAGAAAATAGGGTGAGATAAATACAATGACAGGAATTTCTTGTTTGCATCTAACACCAAGGTGATGTCTTTTCTTTCTAGGTTCCTGTTGTGGCACTTTATCTTCTATTCCTTCTCTCAAATGTGAAGACCTAGATAACCTTAATTTGGAGCACTTACATTTTATACCTGAAACTATGTAAGTATTTAGCTCTATGACCTTTTTATGGCTCTCCTTTTTCTGGTTAAGAGCATAATGTAAGGCAGGGGTGTCAAACTCATTTTCACCAGGGACCTCATTTTCATCAGCCTCGCAGTTGCCTTCAAAGGTCCAAAATAATTTTAGGGCTGTAACTACTCCTTAACTCTTAAGGAACTGAAATTACGTTTGACCCTTTGAAGGCAACAACAAGGCTGATGTGGCCCCCAGTGAAAATGAGCTTGACACCCCTGATATAAGGATACCCAGAGTCAAACCCTGACTGTACTTTTTTAGTTCTGAGATCTTATGCAACCAATCTGAGCCTCAGTTTCCTTATGTATAAAATGGAGATAATTGTAGAATCTGCCATATAGGTTTGTTGTATTTATTAAGTTTATATATGCAATGTACTTGCACTGAGCAGTGCTTGGCACCCACAGTTAAATGTATATGTGTTAATACATATTATTGTTATCAGTATTATAAACAATAATTGTTACTTGTTGTTCTTTCAAAGAACTTATCTTTCCATTGTTGCCTTTAACAGTAAATGATTGGAGGTACTAAAAAATAAATGAGCATTTAAGGGACTAGTTAGTAAATCTAAAGACATCTGTCTCAGTAGCCCTACTGACTTAAAATATTCCCAGTAGCCAAGTTCCGCTTCATTCACTCTTTTTTAATTCCATTAAGAAGATCAGTTGAACATTAGTTAGAGAGTCCCCAATTTATGGACTATGGTTGAGGAAGGCAAATCTCATGTAAAAGATGTAGGGTCAGTTAAATAATTAATTTTTAAAAATTATCTATAATTAAGTAGCTACACTGTACCCATTTTCAGTTCCCCAAAAGAAGGATGCAGCCAGCAATTATTGAAGTTTTCTTCACTTTTCCATTTATTCCTACTTCTAGCCTCTACTTCCTCTACTTCACCATTGGTTTAAGTTCATATCTTAGGTTTCATGGACCTATCCAATAAGTTTTGATCAATGATGTGCTAGAAAACATTTAACAACCAACTCTCTGGGATGGGGGAAGTACTGATTTATTCCCTGGTGTAAACCTTTCCACCATGGCCTATTTCAAGCTACTGATATAATGCTATTGAATGCAGAGTTGGAAAGTGATAGGCATAATCAGCTGACATGAGCTGGTCCAAACCGGCTCCAACACACCATTGGTTTTTGTGTCACCTGAGATGGATGTAGAAGAATAAAAAACCTGCATGATATATATATCCTCTTTTATAATCTTTTCTCCCAAATGTGTGGTCACTTTGCTCTTTGATGTGAAAGCACTACAAAGGAGTTCAGATATTTCTAAAAACAGTACAGCAGACTTCACTGCCTTACATTTTTATCTGAGATACTCAAAATTTCTTTATGAAAATAAATCAGTGACTCTATTTTTTTTATCATATGTGGAAAAATATTGGCCATTCATATCTGGGCCGCCAAAGATGACTTCTTTATTATGAGTCCCAATCCCATTGAATCCTCCCTAAAAGTTTGCTGCCCTCTTTTACAGCTCACAAAGGTAATTGTTAACCCAATAAGACATCTACATATGCATCTCAAAAACATTAAGGCTTATGTCCAATGTAGAGGAGGCCTTTTCTCAGTGTTTTTTTATCATGCATATGAAGCCCAGTAGTAATGCCACTTCTTTTTTGCACCAATGTCTGTCCTCCTCTTCCCTTTGCCTAATTTCAGACGTTTCAAAGAAAAGTGCGTCATGAACAACTATTTTGGAATTGGACTGGATGCTAAAATTTCTCTGGAATTCAACACCAGAAGAGATGAACACCCAGGACAATACAAGTAAGGAAAAGAAACTCCCCTTCCTATGTAAAACAGACAATCACCATTCATACATATGTATATTTGTATATCCCCTACCTCTCAGACAAGCAACAGAAAGAAAAAGGTTCTTTGGAAGTAAAACACATTAGTCCCTGGGTTATCCTAATAGGACAGCTTGCCCCAAATGTTGACCTGGTCTGCGATGACTCCACACTGGCATCCTGAACGTGCACTGCCTTCATAGTCTAAATCTGTGGGTTGCTGTGTCAACACGGCTAACACTGTTATTAAAAACAGATTACATTGACAGAGTGAACAAAATGCCTATCTTTGTCCTGTCTGTGAGTACTTGACAAGGTCCTAATAGTGGCTTCAGGTCTGTTTTTTCTTGGCAGGGCTGCAAAATATCAACCAGCTACTTCTTGTTATTACTAACCTGGTTCCCTTGGACCAACTGACTTTTATCCCACCCATTGTTGGCCCACTTTGCACCTTTTGGCACTTGTGTACTATAGGAATACCTTAACACAGCTTCAGAGTTATTGTGGTAAATTGAAACCACATCCCCACCACCACTAACCCTGCCACCTACCACCAGCCACAAGAACCTCTTTCTGGTGGCCTTGGCTGAGGAATAAATACTTTATCAGAAATGTGGTTTGTGAATACCCTTTCCAAGTTACTCATCCTTTTTATTGCTGCTTGTTTTTTCATTTTCTAAATGTTATCTTTTGAAATACAAAAGTTTTGAATTTTAATGAGATCCAATCGATCATTTTTTTTCTTTTATAAACCATGCTTTTGATGCATTATCTAAGAAATCTGGGCTTAACCCAAAGTCTTAAAAATTTGCTTCTGCCCTGGTTGTGTGGCTCAGTTGATTGGAACATTGCCCCACACACCAAAAGGTTATAGTTTGATCCCTGATCAGAGCACCTAAGTGGCGGGTTCAGTCCCCAGTTGTGGCATGTATTGGAAGAAACCAATCAGTCTCTCTCTCTCTCTCTCTCTCTCTCTCTCTCTCTCTCTCTCTCTCCCTTCTCTCCCTTCCTCCATCCCTCCTATTCCTTTCTCTCTAAAAAATCAATAAACATATCCTCAGGTGATGATTTTTTTAAAATTTTTTCTCCCAAGTTTAAAATTTTTTTCTTGTTTTAGGTCTTAAATTTAAGTCTATAACCTACTTTGAGTTAATTTTTGTGTATGGTATTAGGTAAGGGTCTAACATCATCTTTTGGCACATGTATATCCAATTACAACAGCACCATTTTTTAAAGCTATTCCTTCCTCCAATGAGTGGTGTTGGCACATTTGTCAACAATCAAAACACCCATAAATGCGAGGAGGTTTTTCTAGATTCTCAAATCTATTCCATTGACCTATGTGTTTATCCTATGCAAATACCACACTAACTTGGTAAGTACAGCTTTGTAGTTAGTTTTGAAATTGAGAGATGAAAGTTCTCCAAGTTTGTTCTTTTTCAGAATTGTCCTGGTTGTTCTAGGTATTGTACATTTCTATATAACAAAACTATTTATATCAATAAGAAAACTAAAGTGTCTAGGTCCCACATTTGCATGCAGATAAACCAGGAGGAACACCTGGGGAGCAAGACAGACCATACAACCTGGGGTTCCAGTGCAGGGAAATGAAGTTTCAAAACTTCTGACTGATAAAATCTGTGGGGGTTGCAGCAGTGGGAGAAACTCCCAGCCTCACAAGAGAGTTTGTTGGAGAGATCCACAGGATCCACCCATCCTGGAATCAGCACAAGAAGGGCCCAACTTACTTGTGGGTAGTGGAGGAACTGACCTAAAGCCAGCTAAGACCTGAGCAAGTGGCATTGTCCCCTCTCTGACCCTTCCCCCAAATATAGTACCACAACACAGAGATGTGGGTTGCCTTTCCCTGGCTAATACCTAAGGCTTTTCACCTTACTGCATAACGGACATGCCAAGACAAAAAAATATATATGGTCCAAATGAAAGAACAGATCAAAGTTCCAAAAGTAGAACTAAGCAATGAAGACATAGCCAATCTATCAGATGCAGAGTTCAAAACACTGGTAATCAGAATGATCACAGAAATGGTTGAGTATGGTGAAAAAATAGAGAAAGAAGCAAAGGCTATGCAAAGTGAAATAAAGGAAAAAGCACAGGGAACCAACAGTGATGAGCAGGAAACCAGGACTGAAATCAACAATTTGGAGCAGAAAGAAAAATTAAACATTCAACCAGAACAGAATGAAGAAACAACTATTTATAAAAGTGAGGAGAGAGTTAGGAGCCTCTGGGAGAACTTTAAACATTCCAACATCTGAATAATAGGTGTGCCAGAAGGAGAAGAGAAAGAGGGAGAAACTGAAAACTTACCTGAACAAATAATGAAGGAGAACTTTCCTAATCTGGCAAAGGAAATAGACTTCTAAGAAGTCCAGGAAGCTCAGAGAGTCCCAAAGAAGTTGGACCCAAGGAAGTACACACCAAGGCACATCAGAATTACATTACCCAACATGAAAGATAAGGAGAGAATCTTAAAAGCAGCAAGAGATATGGAGACAATTACTTCAAAGGAGTACCCATAAGACTATCAGCTGATTAGACTGAGCTGATAAGACTATCAGCTCAAAAGTAACCTTACAGGCAAGAAGGGGCTGGAAAGAAGTATTCCATGTCATGAAAGGCAAGGACCTAGATCCAAGATGACTCTCTCCAGCAAAGTTGTCATTTAGAATGGGAGAATAGATAAAGTGCTTCCCAGATAAGGTCAAGCTAAAGGAGTTCATCATCACCAAACCCTTATTATATGAAATGTTGAAGAGACTTACCCAAGAAAAAGAAGGTGCTCAAAACTATGAACAGTAAAATGACAACAAACTCACAACTATCAACAACTGAACCTAAAAACAAAAACAAACTAAGCAAACAACTAGAGTGGAAACAGAATCACAGAAATGGAGATCACATAGAGGGTTATCAGTGAGGTGGGTGAGGGGGTACAATGGGGGATAAAGTACAGAGAATAAGAAACATAAATGATAGATACAAAATACACAGGGGGAGGTTAAGAATACTATAAGAAATAAAGAAGCCAAAGAACTTAATATGCATGACCCATGGACATGCTGGTGGGAGGGGTGGTGCAGGATGGAGGGGAATAAAGAGAGAAAAAAATGAAACAACTGTAATAGCATAATTAATAAAATATAAGTGGAACCTAATCAACAAAACAAATAAGCAAGCAAAATATAACCAGAAACATTGAATTAAATAACAAACTGACAGTAACCAGAGGGGAGGGGAAAGAGGGATAATGGAGGAAAATAGGGGAAGGCCCATGAAGGAACATGTATGAAGGACACATGGACAAAGCCAAAGGGGATAGGTTAGAGGGTGGGAGGTGGGGATGAGTGGGGTGGGTGGCCCAGGTGGGGTGAAAATGGAGACAACTGTACTTGAACAAAAATTTTTAAAAAACTAAAGTGCCCAAAGAACTTGTGCTTTTAAACAAAGTCCAAATAATGTTGTGCTAACCTTCTTATACTCATGCCCTGTTGTGGCTCATTTCTGTGGCTCTACTTTAAAAATAAAAGCTCATACACACAGACAACAGTATGGTGGTTATCAGAGAAGTGGAGTAGAGGTTAATAAAGGATACAGGGGGTCAAATACAGTGCGATAGAAGATTTTATTTTGGGTGGTAGGCACACAATACAATGTACAGATCATGCATCATAGAATTATAAACTTGAAACCTATATAATTTTATTAACCAATGTCATTCCAATACATTTAATTTAAAAATAAATAAAAATAAAAACTCATGGTAAACTCTGCCCAACCTTTCTAGTGATTGTATACTTCCTGCCTGTTTTTATCGGGGATCCCACAATCAACAGGACTCTGTCCTTTCCACCTCCATCCTGAGTCTCCTGATATCCTTACATGTCCCATATTCTCTCCACTGGCTCCTCCTCTATAATCTACCTAGTAAACTTGGCTCTAATTCTCTAGCACTGAGTTAAGTGTTTGGAAATAGACCTTAGAAAGTCCCTCCACTTTGCCAGAAAAGTTATGCTTCAAAGAAACTGCAGTTGAAGAGTCATATGTTTCAAATGAAATTTATTCCAATTACCTAATATCTTGAGCTCCTGCAGTAGCACTTGCCAGGGTAGGTAGTGTCTACCAGCCAGTCATGCTCATAGCTTCCTTTGAGCATTACTTTCTAAATATTGGCTGTCTCTTCCAAGTCTGAATCAATATAAGCAGCAAGAAAATAGTGACAAATTTACCTATCAATGAAATGCTGAAGCTTCAAGGGGACCCAGGAACCCATTCCAGCAGGTGTTTGAATAGGGATACCAGTTACATCATCCTAGCATCCCCTCTTGTGTCATTACAATTCAGTATGACTCCCCTCTATATGAAGGCATTTGAAGAATAAAATTATGTCCCTTCTTGCTTTTCCTCATCCATTTATCTTTATATTATTCACGCTGTTGTTACCTTTCTCTACCCATATTTTCCTGCAGTAGCCGCCTTAAGAACAAGATGTGGTATGGCCTTTTGGGAAGCAAAGAACTTTTGCAGCACTCTTACAGGAAACTGGAAGAACGGGTGCACCTGGAGGTTAGTGAGGAAAAGAGTAATTCTTCTTGGGCATAGAAAAAAAATCTCATGACTTTGGGAACCACCATGCACCTATATTCTTGGTTCTCCCTGAGCTTTCCTTGCCCACAACTGATGTGAGGAAGGCATAAAGATAAATTCCACTTTTATGGTTGAGAAAATGATAGCATGAAGAGAAGACAGAGCTCTACCTCCATCTCTGTAATGTCCCTTTACATTTGTATCTTTCAGTGTGATGGAGAAGCCATATCCTTGCCAAACCTGCAAGGCATTGTAGTGCTCAACATTACCAGCTATGCGGGAGGCATCAACTTCTGGGGAAGCAACACAGCAACCACAGTAAGTATGGAACAAGGAACAGGAAGGAAGAAAGGCTTCACTCTTCTAAGGTCTCTCAAAAAGGAGAGCTGGACTAACTGGAGTAGAAAGTGGACAATGAGGGGAGAGGAGGTAGGCTGGAAACCTTTATTAGTAGCAGCTATATAAGCAGTTTTTAAAAAGGCATTTAGCATTTCAGAGCACAAAAAAAGAATCAACTAAAGACCTCAGGATCAGATTAATACTTAGGTATTGCCTGGACTTTGAATTTTCCATTCCTCGGGCCTGACAGATCTTTGAAAGGTTACCTGCTTTTTTCTCCACGGAGGTCTGTCAGTAAAATCTACTGATAAATTGGCCATGACCCTTTTCCTCTGAGCTCACTCAAGAAGGCCATGAGGCCAATGGGGTTGGCCTTGGGTGTTTAAGATGCTGGGTTGAACACAGAGGGAACAAGCTCAGAGGTGAGATCTCAAAAGGCACTAAAAGTTATATCAGTGCCCCTTTCCCAAATTGGCTCCCTGATCTCATCTTTCCCCTTTTAATATATAGATACTCCACTATTCATGAGCTAGAAAAATTCTCACTAGGAGCCTTCAAAGCATTTCTGCTTGTAATAATCAAGGTATGATTTCTTAAGGGCATATGTGACACAGTTCTTCCTCTTCAGGAATACCAGGCTCCTGCAATAGATGATGGGAAGCTGGAGGTTGTGGCGATCTTTGGGTCCATACAGATGGCAATGTCCCGTATCATCAATCTACATCATCATCGCATTGCCCAGGTAGGCAGGGGCCAAATGAGCACCAGAAAGAGACTGAGCTCTGTGGCTACAACCCAGGATATGGAGTTGTCCCAGGAATTAACTGGATGTAAGAGTGTCATGGTAGAGGGATGAGGTTATCTGGTGGACAGCAAGGTGCTAGCTAAGATTGGAGACAAACATGGTAGGAACTGAAGGAGCCAAAAGCCCGTAGATAGCAGGTATTTCACCCTTGAGGTAATCTGATTCACATCCTTCCCAGTCCTGCTTCAGAAACACATTATAGCCATAACTATGGAATTATCAAATTGGTTTACAGTAGTTGCCTCATTTTCTGACCCATCTTCCCTCCTCTTCTCTGGCAGTGCCGTGAGGTGATGATAACCATTGATGGTGAAGAAGGTATTCCAGTGCAGGTGGATGGGGAGGCCTGGGTTCAGAGTCCAGGCCTTATCAAGATTAGATATAAGAATGCTGCCCAGATGCTGACAAGAGATCGGGTAAGAAAGGAAAGTGTAGCCTTGGGCTCCTACGTTGTCTCATCTACCACTCACTGAGTATTGAATACTTCCAGTTAAGCAGAATTCCTCAAAGGGATGTCTGCTTGCTACTTGTATCAGAATCGATACCTTGGATGCTTGATAGAAATACACATTTCTGGGCCCCACAACAAGACCCAATGATTCAGAATGGGAATGGGTAGTTCCTTGGAACTTGCATTTGTAAACAAGACCCTGAAACATTCTGATATATACTGACATTTTCAAACCACTGTATAAGAATGTATGATTTTGGACAAAGCTGTCCTCCCTCCACTGTGCAGAGAGCTAAAGACCTTGGGTAGTTAAGGAGAAATCTCTCTCAAAAAGAATGTTCTAAAAAAATTAATTGTATTTTTTCCATTACCATTTACTTCCCTTATACTCTCCATCAACAATTACCACACTGTTGTGCATGTTTATAAGATTCTTCATTGAATACGGTCTTTAGGTTTCTTTAAGGTTCCTTGAAATTCTGCATTCACAAATGTCACCTACTTCTGCTAAACCATCTAAAGCTAGAAATAAGCCATTATTGATCAGATGTTCAGTGTTTAGAGGCTTTCTGGCCTGAAGACAGTACATAGAAGCAGCAATAGAGAGGGAGAGGAAGTCTAGTTTATCAACTGTCTACTTTGTGCTGGGCACTTAACATGTATTCTCTCAAGTAAGTCATCCCAACAATTTCATGAGATAGATGTACTTATTCCCACTCTACAGGTGAAGAAAATGAGAACCAAAGAGGTTAAATAATTTGCTAAAGGTCATATAATTAGTAAATAATAGAAGGAAGATTCAAAATTAAATTAGGTATTTCTGACCCTAAAATCCATCACAACATATTGCTTACATTTCACAAAGAAGAGAGCATGAAATGTGTTCCACTGTTTTATTGATAATGGTGCACTCATATAGGAGGGCAGACATCTATATGATTGAAGCATATTGTCCTAAGATTCAGCATAGTAACAACAACAGCAAAAACTAAAAGTGCCTAGTACAGAAGAAACATTGAATAAAATGATGGATAGATGTATAGGTATGTAGGTAGGTGTATGGGGGAATAAATGAAGTCCTCTTTACCCACTATACCATAAATATCAGACTCAGAGGCTGATCTGTCACATGCCCTCTTAGCTACAGCAATCATTAGGATCTACCACTGTCTTCATCTCTAGGACTTTGAGAACTCAATGAAAATGTGGGAATGCAAGCATACTGAAATTCAAGCTGCCTCTCGACCCAAGTTGAACTCCCAGGAATCTCAAGATAGCCTCTCTGATGAGGAGTCTGCCCAGATGCAGCTCTTAACTCAGCTTGCAGAAGACCTCATGAGCAGGTAAGTGGAACTAGACACAGGGTTGAAAATTGTAAGAGATAGTAAGAAGGCGATTTGTGTCAATTGGCTACTGGGAAGCTTGGTCTCAGAAAGGAGTCTTACCCAGAGCTCTGAAGATTGACAGGGACCCAGACAATCCCAATAGGAAGTGGTCTTTGTGCTCAGTAATAAGCCACCTCAGACCTCTGTCATTAGACCCAGAAATGAACTTTGATCTCCTCCAGCTTCTCCAGACCTAACAGGACTAAGAGTGTTTATCCTTGCTCTTAAATGTAAGGAGGACCTTTGAGTTCCTGAAGTCATCTGCCCTCCCATATATGTCTTCTAACTCTCCCAAAGCACACAGTATCTAACACAGGTGAGACAAGGATGGACAACAATGAATCCCTAGAGTAGAAATTCTTTTTTGGCGCAGGTGGCTACCTAGAGACAAATTGAAATAGCAGGAGAGTACTAATTTGGATATCCAGTGCTTTCTATTTTTACCCCAACCCTCACTCGCACCCAGGTAAGAAGTTTTTCAGAAATCCAGACTCATCTATCTGTTTTTGTTTTATTACAGGCTTACTAACCTAAGCAAGGTCCACCAGCATGTGTCTGTCCTCATGGATTCTGTGAATGCCAGTGCCAACATCCTGAATGATGTATTTTGTGGCCAAGACAGTGACAATGAGGCAGGTGCAGCTTCCTGTACTCCCATAAAGGTAAGAGAGCAAAGGGCAGATGAAGGAAAAGAGTCAAACCAAATAAGAAAGGGGATGAAAAGGAAGGACAGGGAGATGTAGGCTGCATGAAAAAACTACAAATGATATGTCAGGACACTGGTGGATAGAAAGGAAGATAAGGCAAGTTTTCCTTGACCGTTACAGCTCCAGAGAGGCTAATGCCATACCAGATTTCATCATCTGAGAGGTAGTCCTCTTTCCTGATATCCACCTACTACACTGGCCTCAGGGAAGAAATGGCAAGTGAATAGAGAGAAACTTAGCCTTGGCCCTTCCTCATCCCAGGTAACCTGTTGAGGTGACACCTATCATTGAAACCTCAGTTCCAAGCTGCCTTTGTTTCCCTCTTGAGGGAAATGTTCAGATTAGAATACTTGAAGTTAAATGTGCCATCCCATGACTTTATCCACTGCCAGAAGATTTAAGGGATACTTCTGATAAGTAACTTTAGTGGTGGGCAAATGATGCGAAAGGGCCACATATAGGGTCTGGGCCTCCTAAAATGCAGTTCATCTATTTATTTTGTGCCAGATACTAGTTGGAGGAAGCCTGGAGCTTAAGACCTAGAATTTAAAGAAGAGAGATAATTGGATCTAACTTTACCTACCATGGAAAAGGTAGTTTTAGCTCAGTGGCAACAAAGCCTTAAATTTACTCTCTGGTTTGCATATTTCCTACACCCATGCAACTCAATCAGTGATGCCAAATGCCAAGTTGTGCTGTCCCACTTCATAGGTACACCAATCAGTTACAATAGTTGACAACTAGCATTAGTTCTTACTGGTTGGGACCTACAGCCACATCCTAGTAGCCTGCTCCTCTCTTCCCACAGAGAAGCCAGATACTGCATGCTTACTAACTAACAATTCTTCTATCTTTGTCCTTTTCCTTACACTCTTCTCTCAGATTCTAAGCAGAAATGATGCAGTAGATGTTACATTTAGTCTTAAAGGGCTCTACGATGACACCAAAGCTTTCCTGGATGAACACTTGGTGAGTGGAAGGGGTTGGAACAAGGGAGGGAAAAATATCCCATCTGAAGATGATCATGGTCTATACTTGGTTCTAAGAAATTGGAAGACATATAGGAACATTTTAGCAAGTGCTTAGCTGGCAGTTCATTCTGTGTTATTCTCATCCAGGGTTGTAATTGAATGTATCACTTCATAGGTTGTGCTAATCAATAGGGATTACCATATCATTGAAGAAAAGTTTCCCCCTCTCCTTTGGCAAATGTGTCCTGTGTCCGGGCCAATAAAAAGTAGGTTGTTCTCATCATACCTCAAACAGCTTCAGTAGAAGGTGAGCTCTTTTGAGCTGCTCTGTATCTCCCAAGTGTCCACATACATCTCTCACCATGTGGAAATATAGCATGGAATCATGGGAAAAGTTGGAAAACTGTGGGTTCAAATCCCAAATCTACTACTTACTAGCTATATTAATTTCCTAAAGCTGCTGAAACAAAGTACTAAACTCTGGGTGACCTCAAACAACAGAAATGTATTGTTCTCACAATTCTGTAGGCTAGAAGCCTGAAATCAAAGTGTCAGTAGGGACATACTACTTTTGAAAACTGTAAGGGAATTCTTTCTTGCCTCTTCCTAGCTTCTAATGATTTGCTAGCAATCTTTGTTGTTCCTTGTCTTGTAAATGCATTACTCCAATCCTCCCTCTTCACAGAGTGTTCTTCCTGTGTCTGTCTACCTTTAAATGGCCATCTTCTTATAAGGATACCAGTCATACTGGATCAGGGGCCTACCCTGATCCAGTATGACCTCATCTTAAAAACCAATTATATCCGCAATGACCCTGTTTCTAAATAAGGTCATATTCTGAGATATTGGGGTTAGAATTTCAATATAACTCTTTTTTGGGTGGTGCAGGGAGGGGACACAATTGAATCCATAACACTAGCTGTGTGAAATAATTTCACCTCTCTGGATCTCACCTTCCCTATCTACAAAATAGAATTTGTAATCTCTACCTTTCCAGGTTGTTGTGAGGATTAAATCAACTATCATACATTAAGTTCTAAGTTGTGCTTGGCACATACTAGTAGCCTAATAGATGGTAAATTTTATTAGTGTTAGGGAAAATGGATTGAGGCTCAGTTTTTTTGAGCTACAAGAATAGTTGTGTGTTTCTCGCAAGATGAAGCCTATAGGCACACTTGGTAAATGTGCTCTGATGAGCCAACTGGTCATGACCACCCCATTTTAGGGTTGGCTGCTAAGGCCATGAAACAGGTACTGTTCTTGCTTGTCATCTAACTATGGTTTATTTGACGAAGGTCTTCTGAGTTGATATTCCAAAAAGTGCATCCACCTTCCGTTTTCCATTTGTACATCTAATTGGCATACTGCACAGGCAGTGGAGAGGCTAAGGCAATCAGGTCAGGCTGTCCCAGCATCTGAACCCCAATCTAGAGTCTTTCAGCCTTAAGCAACAGTAATAGGAGTACCTTCCATATATAGGCAACTCAATGGCTTTGCTATTTTGGGCAACAGGGAAATATGGGACCTTGGACTTCATTTCCACTCAAACTTTCATGACGTGAATATTGGTTCCTGTCAGCCAACAACCCAAATTGAACACATACCACATTTAACACAGGACCTGATAAGTATTCCACATACATACAACCAAATGATACCAGGGTCAGGCAGCAGCTAACTGAGAATGACCAAGTATCTCCAGAAAGACTATGTCATGGAGGTGGCATGGAGATAAGGCTTATTTCTTTTGGGTGTTGCTATTCCTTCCTTTGAAGGAGGATAGTACAGAGTTCAGTGTTGGCAGAGGGATGTAGATTTATGATGAAGTAAACCCCACCCAATAACTTCCATTTCCCTTATTTGGCAACCTCATTTGTGCTATGGGTAGTAATCTGTTGAGACAGGCACCAAAAAATAAGCAGCAAAGTCCTCTAAGTCCATTTGCACATTTACTTCAGAGAAGAGTCCTAGACAAGGTTTCCACTGGAGCCAGGAGGACAGGAAAATAGAGCACAAGACTCAGTCCCACCCACCTACTATTTTTCAGAGCCTGAGTCTCCAGATGCCAAATAAGAAGTCATTATGGCCCTGACTGGTACAGCTTAGTTGGTTGGGCATCATCCCACAAAGCAAAAGGTTGCTGGTGCTTGGTCAGCACATGCCTGGGTTGTGGGTTGAATCCCCAGTGGAGTACATATGAGAGGCAACTGATCAATGTTTCTCACATCGATGTTTCTCTCTCTTTTTGTCTGTTCCTTCCCCTCTCCCTAAAAATAAATAAATAAAAATCTTTTTAAAAAGGCAATAGGAAGCCATTATATTTCTTTCTTATTATCATTGGGAATCATTTTCCAAGGCCCCAAATTTCTGTTTGTTTTCTGTGCCTTTGGGTTTGACTACCAAACCCCCTCTGAGCATTGCTGGTAAGTATGCTCTTAAGGACGCCCTTCTTCTTCCCCCCTTTACCTTTATAGCCATTTCTACCTGATGCCCACTGTTCCACATCCCACTGCCATGTTTATACAAATGTCCTGTGCATCTGAGCTACTCTGTATTGTTCTAAATCATTATCTGTAAAACAAAATCAAGAGATTACTTGTCAGCACTGATTTTTTTCTCTCATATCCCATCCTAATTGGCCATCACCTCCAACCCCACCCTCACCCATTCACCTGCCACCCATTTGTGACATCTGGCAAGGTTCTACTTATACACAGCATGAGGCCCCATAAGGGCCAGGTTGAAAGCAGAGTGCATGCTAGGGGGAAAGTTGAGGCCAGGTAGGGTGGGCTTGAAAGGATGTTCAGGTTGAAAATATCAACATGTATCTATTCTCCCAGCTCACTATTTACTAGAATATGAATTATCTCACCTATGTTCCTGGTTTATCTGAGATGGAGATAGTCTCAGAAGAATCCATTTTAAGTTTCCCATGGACTGAACAGAGTTTATCTTGTGGCTCCTGGGAGTTACTAGGGAATACTTAAGCTGTTTCCTGAACCTGTGAGACAAGCCATCTAGAAGTCATTTCTTACTAAAAGTGAATAGGGGCTAAAGCACAGCCTGAAGAGGCAGGCCCTCTTTGCCAGGAAAGGAAACTGAGCCTATCTCTGTTTAGGCTTCTCCTTGCTACACAAAGCAGACTTTAAATTACAGTAACTATTTAATAGAGATTCCCCCAGCATCCAGCCACCCCACATATCTTTTATGGGACTGTGTGGGATGGAAGATAAGCTAAATAGTTAAACAGATCTGGGTTCTGTCTAGACATGTGATTTTGAACACTAAATTTCTTTGAATCTGTTTTCTCACCTATAAAATAAGAACAATAGTACTTTGGAAGCCTTTGGAAAGATGAAATGAAATCATGAATGCATAGTTCCTGGCATACAGTATGTGCTCAGAAATCAATAGCTGTTACTTAGAGAGACCCCTGTCCTGGACCCTAAACTGTAGAGGTATAACTCAGTGTTAATTCAGCTTGGTCAAAGGGCCCTTCTGCTTGCCAAACTGTAAGCATGTTCAGTTTCAAGAAAAGCCCCAGTATCCAGTTGTTTTTGGAGGCATCCCTATTGAGAAAGAAAAGAGATCACTATACTTTTCCATACTCCCAAGGCCAAAGGAGATACATGTTGGCACCCTGTACTTAATGGCCACTAGCAGGGAATGGCCCTACTCAGGTAGAGGGCAAGAGTCCATGAAGGCATGTGCTAGGCATTGGACACTCATTCATTTTTCTGTTTTTGCCAGTTGAAAAATGCTGAGGATGAGGCCACATTGCAAAACACCCTGGATGCCATGAATAAAGAGTTTGAAAAGCTATCTGAGATCAACTGGATGAATTCAATCCTTGTCCCAGAGGTATGTGACCTGGGGATTGGGAAATAAAGGGGAAGAGGGGTTCTTCTTTAATGTTCTACCTTCCTACATGGGTCAGGACACAGTGACGGGTAGAGTGCAGGGAGTCCAGTAGTAGCTTTTGGCTTGACCTTAATGGAGCCTCTTTCTCCCATCTCCTCATCATAAGCAGACAGGACAAGACAGAGAGCATGCTGAAAAATTAGATAACCATGAGAAAGTAACTAGAAAGAACTATTCTGTGGCAGGAGATGATTTGGGAAAGAATAAGCAAGTTTGCTTTTTTTTCTCTACTGTTCTCCTGGCTTCAATTCCCCCTCCTTGCTCAGTACCTGCTGCCAGGACTAGATTTCATCTGGTACCTATCATTATGACCATATCAGTTTATGGCCAACCTCTGTTCTAAATACTTGGTTCCCAGGCCTTACTGGTAGTTAAATCTTCTAAATATCACATCTCCCTGCTGCTTATTGTCCCTTCACCTCTGGGAGCACAATAGGCTCTCCAGTGCCTTCCTCTAGTAGGCATGGGGCTTAAAAGCAAATTTAGCATGCCAGTGGTGGCTACAATATAGCTGTAGGGAACACTGTCATTTTTAGATGGCTCTGAGTACTTTCCTGAGATCAAAAATTGGTCTTATTTAATAAATCAAATGAGCCCCAAATGTCCACATATCACTAGGTAAACTATTCCCATTTATGATCTGACAGGGTTTTTCCTTAGATTTTCCCACCAAATGGAATGGCTCATTTCACACTGTAGGAATCTCTGGTACCCCTACTTATGATACATATGTCTGGCTCCATATACCAATTAAATGCATGTTGTGAGCAAGCCATACATTCATCATGTTTGGATTAGTGCAACAATCAGTCTACTGTCTAACAGAAAAAGCCATATGCAACCTTGGGTCTTAAAGGATTTAATAACGTTCTCATATGCCTTTGCTGCTCTCCATCAGTGGCCTCTGGGAGGGGAAAACATGCTGTTATGCAGAAAATCAAGCCAACTCTTGTAGTATCCTATCTCTCTTATTACTCAGGAAAGCTATATCTCACCAAGCTCCAGAACTAAGCAACTGGTCTGGATACTGAGAGAAATGAAAAAATGGTCCATGGTCTAAGACCTTAAAATGCGAGATGCCCTAGCCTGGGGTATACAAGTCTTTTCTGGGTTTTGGTATTACCATAGAGATGAGGAAGTAAGGCTCAAAATAAGGGCAGAATGGATTAAAACAAAGCCAGGAAGATGTTGTTCATTCATGTAACAGTATGTTGCTCATTCATCTTCCTCACCTTAAGGCCACAGAATATTCAGATTTACTTTGGCAGGAAAAATAGGATGAGGGTCAGTTATTCATTGATCTTTCCAAGGCTTTGCCTGAGAGGCAAAGTCCTGCGCCCTTCCTTTAAGGTCTTTCTCAAAGGTAATTCTGAATATCCTTGTACGAAGCCTAGAAGAGAGAGGGTAAGTGGAGCCAGAGCAGGAAAAGGATAGATTTCTACTCTTCTAATGGAAGGGATCAGAGGCATATATAATATCAAAGAGAAGAAAATCACAAAGTTTCTCAGAATGTGTTTGGCTGGACTTTCTGGCAACGAAGTTAACCTTGAGATAACGTTTTACTGAGACCAGTAGTAAAACGAGCACTCTTTAGCAGGAGCAAGAGGACTGGGAGGCTAAGCTGGAATTAAACCTACATGATCTATACAGCAGAGAAGCCAATTCATAATGGCTATGTGTGGAGAACCTTCTTTACATTCCACACAAGAAAGCAGGTGGTCTGAGAGGTCTATTTCTATACTTATTTCTACAAGAAGGGTAAAAATAACCACCTTGTAAGGTCATTTTGGAGCTTATATGAGAGCATTTATTAAAGTATCTAACAAGGCACATGGCACAGAGTAGGGTCTGGTAAAGAACAGTTGCCTTCCTAGGACATGGGACTAGTGGTTAAGGGTTTCTCTCACACCTAGATAGATAACAGATCTATTTGCTTTCCTTTTTCGTCTTCTTGCCAGGACTCCAGGAATTGTTCTGAATGTTAGGCAACCAATTTTTTAATAATATATATTATTGATTATGCCATTACAGTTGTCCCATTTCCCCCCTTTATTCCCCTCCACCCTGCACACCCCCTCATATCCACATTCCCTGCTTTAGTTCATATCCATGTGTCATAACTTCTTTAGCTTCTACACTTCCCATACTACTCTTGCCCTCCCCCTGTCTATTTTCTCTCCACCATCTATGCTACTTATTCTCTGTACCTTCTCCCCGCTTCTCCTCCTCCCACTCCCCTGTTGATAACTCTCCATGTGATCTCCATTTCTGTGGCTCTGCTTCTGTTTTAGCAGTCTGATTAGTTTGCTTTTGTTTTAGGTGTGGTTGTTAATAACTGTGAGTTTGCTGTTCTTTCACCATTCTTATTTTTTAATCTCCTTTTTCATAGACAAGTTCCTTTAACATTTCATATAATAAGGGCTTGGTGATGATGAACTCCTTGAACTTGACCTTATCTGGGAAGCACTATATATGCTCCTCCATTCTCAATGAAAGCTTTGCTGGACAGAGCAATCTTCGATATAGGTCCTTGCCTTTCATGACTTGGAATACTTCTTTCCAACCCCTTCTTGCCTATAAGGTCTCTTTTGAGAAATCAGCTGACAGTCTGATGGGAACTCCTCTGTAGGTGACTGTCCGCTTATCTCTTGCTGCTTCTAGAATTCTCTCCTTCATTTTAATCTTGGCTAATATAATTATGATGTGCCTTGGTGTGTTCCTCCTTGGGTCCAACTTCTTTGGGACTCTCTGAGCTTCCTGGACTTCCTGGAAGTCTATTTCCTCCACCAGATTGGGGGAGTTCTCCTTCATTATTTGTGCAAATAAGTTTTCCACTTGTTGCTCTTCCTCTTCCTCTTCCCCTTCTGGTACCCCTATAATTCTGATGTTGGAATGTTTAAAGATGTCCTGGAGGTTCCTAAGCCTCTCCTCATTTTTTCGAATTCTTGTTTCTTCATTCTTTTCTATTTAGTTGTTTCTTTCTTCCTTCTGGTCCACTCCATTGATTTGAGTCCCAGTTTTCTTCCCATCGGTATTGGTTCCCTGTGCATTTTGCTTCTTTCACTTAGCGTAGCCTTCATTTTTTCACCTAATTCATGACCAAATGCAACCAATTCTGTGAGCATCCCAATCACCAGTGCTTTGAATTGTGCATCTGATAGGTTGGCTATCTCTTGGTCACTTAAAAGTATTTGCTCTGGGGCTTTGGTCTGTTCTTTCATTTGGGCCATTTTTTTTGTCTCGTCAGACCTGTTAAGTATGAGGGGCGGAGCCTTAGGTGTTCACCAGGGTAGGGCAACCCACATTGCTGTGTTGTGCTGCTGTATGTGGAGGCAGGGTCCAAGAGGGAAAAATGGCACTTGCTCCACTCTCTCTCAGATTTCAGTTCCCTCTGCCACTTCCCACAAGTGAATTGGGCCCTTCCGATGCTGTTTCCCAGGTGGGTGGGCTTGTGTACATTCTAGGACCCTGTGGGTCTCTCCACTGAATTCTCCTGTGAGGCTGCAAGTCTCTCCTGGCACCTTTTCAATCAGTGCTTTGAGACTTTATTTCCCTGAGCTGGAGCCCTGCGCTGTGCAGTCTATCTCACTGCCCATTTTTGCTTGGTTTATCTGTGTACGAATGTGTGACTGTGGTAGCCCAACTGCCTTGTGTTCCTCACTGGGTCTGCTCATTTCCTCCCTGGGCCCAGAGTCTGCGAGCCACCACCTTTTCTGCTTCAACCCCTCTCTGTTAGCCACCAACTCTGCCCTTCTTACTAGTCTGAATGAACGGTTGTTGGACTTCCATACAGTTCAATTTTCTGTGTGTTCTGGTTTTCTTATTGTTTCTAAATCTTTGTTGTCCTTAATTTTGGTTGTGCAAGGAGGCATAGTGTTTCCACCTATGCCTCCATTTTGGCCAGAAGTCCAGGCAACCAAATTTTTTTACCTTGCTCTTGCTGTGGTTTCCCAGGAAGAATCTTCAGACACTGACAGTAGAAGCCTAAGGTTGAAAGTTAAATTCCCCAAATCGAGGAAGAAGAAGCTAGAAGAAGAAGAGATGCCTAGATCAGGCGAAGGAGTCCAGGGTTTTATTGGTAAGTCTCCTTCACAGGGATAGGGATCATGAAGACCTCGCCAGCAGCCCTGGTACCTCCCAGAAACCTGAAACTCCAATTTGAAATTTTCACGGGTATGGTGGTGATGGAAAGGAGGCTGGCCATGAGCCAACCTTAGGCAACAGTAAGAAGTCTCTTGGACACGGTGTGAGTTAGAAAGTGATATGAACACTGGCAGAGAGAGCACCTGAGAAGTAACCTTGCTGTGTGGTCTCTGTGAGAAGTAACCTTGCTGTGTGGTCTCTGTGATATAGACGGATGAAGAGAAAATGATAATAGGCAGTTACTTGACTGCTTGCCCTATTCCTGTCCTGAGTTGACAATTATGGCAAAATAATTATACTTAGATCTCTCTTCCAGTCAAGTACAACTACAAAATTTTAGTCCTGCTCCAGAAACCAGTATTATTTGATATGCATTGGAGGTGTCAGTGCTGGGTACCTACAGGGTCAGGAACACATTCCATGACTTACCTGGACATTTTTATTGCATATCTGTTATAATAAGTCCCTGGAAATACAAAATTTCTATTGCATTATTTGAATTTTTGTTTCATCCCATCTGCAAAATTGGACTTATGCCAACTGGTATGTCAGTGGGACTAAAATCAAGGTTCTCTTAGTGTTGTCAGTTATGCTGATTATGATGTCAGTGTTCTCTTCTAAATTTTGGGCCAAGATAACTTGGAAATTTCACATACAGTGATAGTGGACATGGGGGAAAGAGGACTGAGGATGTCAGTTTGTTTTGTTTATGAAAAAGTATGAGTTGGCACAAAATTTGGTCCAGCGTCTTCTGGACCAAATTGTGTTTTCTCAAGTCTTGCCCATGGTGTTTAACTCCATAAGAATCTAACCATCAGGAATCGATGGTATTTCAGTCTTTTTAAAGTACCATGGGTTTTCATATTCTGAAAAATTCTATTTGTTTTTGGCTCACATGGTGTCAGCAGGTTTTCTTGGATGGTTCAGAGATGGTTCAGAGATGATTGGTACAATAGAAACAAACCAGTCTGTCTCCTAACAGACTCTTTGTTTGCTCTCTTTAGGAGCCATACATTGGGGCATCTGGCAAATGTGCTAACCTCATTATTTCTATATTTGTTTTTTCTCTGAAGGAAATTTGTGGCATCGCAGATATCATGAAGACAAAGCAAAAAATGATGACCCTCCAACAACATCATTTCAACTGTAGCCCTTGAAATCTGGAAGGAGAACTCACAACATTTAGAATTCTACTAAAAACTCTCAAAACCTCAATACACGCTAGACTAAATTATTTCAGAACACACATGAGCACCACCAAGAAAGAGCCTCCAATTTCATTACACTAACACATTTTTTCTGGAGTCAATCAGGTCTCCTTAGAGGTTTACATCATCTCATTGGCCAAAGATTCCTGCTCTGAGTTGTCTTATTCAGTTCTTCTCCTTGTGCACCTTGAGCAACTACAGTATTTAATTGGGCTAAGTTCTTTATGAATGGCCTGGGATCTACAAAGGATTCAAGGGAGTTCACCTCTTCAGGGAGTCTGAGAATGGTTTTCTCTGACTACCAGAGAACACTGATGCTAGGAAATGAATGAAATACTCTCAGGGAGATGAGCAGAGGGGTCAGCATAGCCAGGCTTGGTTGTGTTTCTCCCCCAGTCCTGCCGCTTGCAACTTGAAACTTCAGGAGGTCTCTTCTTGTTGGCTTATTAAGATGAGAATGAAGTCCTGGGGATTTGTCCATTTGTCTATTACAATGATCACGTGAAATATTTCCTCATAAATGTGGTGACTGCTCTCTCTGCAAATTTTTTTCCTTTTTCCATGTGTGCATGTATGTCTTTGTACATGTCCAGGTGGTGCTCCTGTGGCTGTGTGGGCCCATTGGTTGGAATTCACCCCAATGGCAGCCATACAGGCTCCCTTTCTACTGCCTTGATTCTAGCCTGCATGCTTCCATGGAGTGTCTACCTGCATTCTTGCTGGTTTTTTAACTCAAATGTTTTGCTGCTGTGCTGCAGTATAGATTATGTATAGAGACATAAAGATGTATATATTATATATATATATATATATATATATATATATATATTTTTTTAAGAGCTGAGAATACAACTTGACCTCTAAGTGACCCTATAATTTATCCTGCTAACCCAGAAATCCCTCCCCACTGTAATCCCATCTCCCACCCCCATTAATTTACACACATGTGCACACACACACACACACACACACACACACCCCTCCACCAACTTCCCCAGTTCTTGGTGGAACTTCTAGACTTTTGGTGCATTTTCAACGTCTTTGAAGCAGCTGAAATCTATCATCTATAGCCTAGCTGATTCTGATGTCCCCTTAAAATTCTAAGTTAGGCTATGGAAAGAACAGAACACCAATGCACTAGAGAAGGGGACTAAGCTGTTGTGCTGCCTTTTTTGCTCTATTTATCCTGAACTCTAAATCAGCAACTTTTCCAACCTTTGTTGTCTCCCTTCTCCAAAAAAAAGACCAGAGAGAGCAAACAGGCCTTGAGTCCTATGACTTAGATGCCTGAGTTAGAAACTGCCTGACAATCAAGTTAACAGCCGAGGCCCTTCCCCACCAGCTCCATCTTGGCCTCCATCTTCTAGACAGGCTGTTGGGTTAGTCCCGAAATCATCTTTGAATTTCCCATCTTCCTCCTTCCCTGGAGTACAGAGGGGCATTCAGAGTGACCAGAAGGAACATGGGCCTTGGAAAAAAGAGGCTCTTAGCCTCTTCTTCTTCCATGTTTCTTCCAAATTTCCATGAAAACAACCTGTGCTAAAATTGTTCCCAATCCCAATAAGCATATTTGCAGTGTCCATTCCCAGTCAGGCAAAACTAATCAAAATTCAGTGTCCAGAAAGGTTCTCTCTAGTCTGCCTTGTATTCCCCATTTCACCCTCAAGTCATGCCTTTAGGTAAATGTTTCTTCCCACCTAAAAGAAAGCCAGAAAACTGGCCTCTCCCTACTTCTGACAAATTTAGTGTGCTCAAATACTTGACTCTCCAGGCTGCTTCATTGAGGTGCAAAATTCAGACTCCAAGCACTGGTTTTCAATTCTGAAATTACACCAGCCTAGCCCACTTAAACCAGCCACCTGTGTTCCAACTCTGTAGGGATGAGAAGAATACTAACAAGGGGTTTGTCCCCAAATGTCTGATTGCTGTGCCAAACAAATTAAGAAGTTTTAGCTCTACAAATTCAGAAGAATGTTAATGGGAAAAAGATAAAACGTTGAAAACTTACTTAAGCATCAGCATATGTGAACTTACTGTACATATTTAAGTGGGGGGGAGGCTGTGCTTTGGCTTTCTCTGCATCATTCCTTCTTCCCAGGAGGAGGTATTATATTAAATCAGCAAGGTCACCACTGCAGCCTGACTTGGTTCCTCTGTGGCTGCATGTTAACACCTGCACGCACACTCATGGAGTTGGGAACCAAGTTGCATTGTTCTTAGAAGATACTTTTTCAAAATGGAACTTTTCCAAATGAGCAAATTTAAGAAAACAGAAGGAAGTCCTGGGAGAAAGTAGCCTTATCTTGGCAGTGCCTAAGCAGGGCTCTGTCTTCTAATTCTGTTTGTCACTGATGATAGTTAACTATAATAGGATTCCAACTCTTGTGCTTAATTTGCTGACTTAAAAATGTCTTTGTACACTGTAATACTACTGTTGCTCTGTTGTACCACCAGGATTCCCTTCCACCCTAAGCCAGAATGATATTGAACAAAACCACACAGGTTTGCGGATGGAGTCAACTCGTGGAGAAGAATTGATAGGCGATTAAGCCCAGATGCATGCGTGGTTTCCTAAATCTCTTGGTTACCTCCTAAACTGCTTAGTTACCAGTTTCTTCCCCAAAAGGAAGACAACTTTCTGAGCATCATGTTCTTGCATGCATTACCTTGCAAACAAAGTAAGGAATGGTGATGTTTCTCAAGGGATTTGACTTAGCTTCTGGATGCATGAGCTACTTTGAGAACTTCATGATTAACTCTTGCAGTAATAAGATTGCTTCGGTGGTAGGACAAGACACCAAATCGCCATTTCAATTATGTTCTGAAATGCCATTAAGAGCAAAAGTTCTGGGGTTTGGTTGCATCTTTGGTAGCACTTTCTGAGGGGTTGATTGAGTGGGCAATTCCTGGCAAGAACAGTAGGGAAGAACACCAAGAGACTTGGACTGCCAGTAATTGCTTCTTGTGTCAATACTACAGGTCAGCAGCTATCAGCCCTCTCTCCAAAAAGGGGCCTGTACTGTGTACAAAGGAGCAGGTAAAATAAGTAAGACATTTTCAACTTAATAAATTAGGTTAAATGTTAAATCAGAAGAAAGAGTTGGGGTCAACATAGTCTTCCCTCAGGACACAAGTAGAATAATTTTAGCTTCATAAGAGGTAGAAACTAATACCAAAGCAACAAAACCCACTAGCACTATTCCCTCCTACAGAGAACCTTGATTGGCAATATGGTTTGTAGAACTGCATTTGTCTATTTATCTGCTAATCTGTAATCCATGTGGTTTTCTGTTCCATGATTTCTCTTTCTTCAGAGGCCCCTGCAAATAAGCAGCAGGGCTAGGAGCTGGTTGGGGGAGGAAGCTGGGATATTTATGGGTAACAGAAAAAGCAGAAAGAAAAAGTCCATAAAGTATGCCTATTCCTCCCCCCCAAAATGGAACACCAGTCCTCAAAGTTAACACAATAGTTTTGCTTCTTAAAATGTTTTAATAAATGGATGAACACAATCAACACCAGTATCTCATCACTTACCTCATGATGGGGGGAGATGAATGGTGGTAGAAATGGTGGATGAACTTCAGTGATATTCAAGCTCTAAACAAGTCACATGCATGTAGGGATGGCAGGTGAGAGAGGATAGCTGCAGCACATGCCAAGAATCCCCATCAGGGTGATCATAACACTAAAAGGACTGCCACGTTCTAAAACCTAGCTGTAACTCAGAACTCTCTTGTGGAGAAATACCTGTCACTGTAATTGTTCGAGAAGCAAATTTTCTATAGGACCCAGATTTCAATGAAATTAATTAGATACTGGGGAGTAAAAGTAAGGTAGAGGAATATTGTCCTGACTACTAAAGAGATACATAAATGCAAAAAGCACCTTGAAATACTTTTGACAATACAATATACCCACCTAATATATATTACATATTCCTTACACCTCAAGAAATGTGTGAGTAGGAAGTAGTGTTTTGTTCAGATGCAAAATTGGTGAGGCCTGGCGCTGGCCTGGCCAGTTGACTTGGTTGGGGCATTGTCCCACACAATGGTTGCAGGCTTGATCCCCAGTTGGGGTGTGTATAGGAGGCAACCAATTGATCTCTCCCTTCATCTCAGAAATCAATAAACATATCCTCGGGAAATTATTAAAGGAAATTAGTGAAGCCTGGAATAAAAAATGCTTTAATTTCTGCCCTGGAGGATCCCGTTACTAGTCACATTTAATAGGTCGACAACTGAGGCTATATTAGACTAGGATTCCACAAAATGCTACACCAGGGTAATAACTTGGATCTTCTAAATCCTTGACTTCCCAATATTAAAACTCTTACTTGAACACAAACCAGTTGTGATCTTAGGACCACATTTCAGTCTACCCCATAAAACTAAATTCTTAGGCTTTATGAGGGAAACAGCCCTGTTGTTAAGAAGCTACCACCAGAATGGGCTCTGTAATTCACGTTAACAAATTTAGAAAGAAAACTATGGTCCATTATGGCTGATGAACATAGATGCTAAAATCCTCATCAAAATGTTGGCAAACCACATCTAGCAATACATTAAAAAGATCATACACCATGATCAAGTGGGATTCATCCCATGGATGCAAGTATGGTACAATATTCACAAATCAATAAATCTAATACATCACATAAACAAAAGGAAAGACAAAAACCACACGATCATATCAAGGGAGGCCAAAAAAGCATTTGATAAGGTACAGTACCCATTTATTATAAATGCACTCAGCAAAGTGGGAGTAGAGGAAAAATACCTCAATATAATAAAGACTATGTATGAGAAACCTACAGCCAATATCATAAAACACCAGGCAAAAACTAAAGGCTTTCCCACTGAGATCAGGAACAAGACAAGGATATCCACTTTCACCACTTGTATTCGATATAGTATTGGAAATCTTAGTCACAGCAATCAGA